ACAGCTACAGTTCCGCAAGTCTGCAATAACTGCAAAGCGCTCCTCACTTGTTCTCCCATCCATCACTTCACACTAATGCTTTCATTCGGAATCACCTTCATCGTTGCCGATCTTTCTTTCGTACACATCACGTTCCGGCATCAGGTTTTCATCCGCCTTCTTTACAAGAAAAATCATCATATATGTGATAACACTAATTCTCTCTTTCATTCCACGTGTATGAACGTCCATTCACACCCAGTGCACTTGCTCTCTCACGAAACTATGTCGTCATGTCTGCTACCATCAGACATATTCATTCATGTCATGTCATGATTCCACTACATGAAGTATATAGCATTGGCATGCATGTTGATAAGTAGAAATGGACACAGATGGAACTGTACTGTTAAATTATATCGCATTAAATCCAGCACGATATTATTACTGGATCTTCTTCCATTAGTAGCCAAGTGAAGAGGAACTGCAGTAGAAATGTATATGAAAATAATGGTGAACATTTTTACCCCAAATTTATAATAATTGAAGTCGTGCTGGCAATGTAGAAAAAATTGATAATCTAGTAGTAAAAAATCGGATTTACCAAGTAGCGTTTTTTTTCTTCACTGACATTTTTTCGTGTGGGTCAACTGACAGGTGTTGGCACCCTTGCGTCATGCTTGCGTGAGTCATGCACTTGTACGCTACAGCCTGAACTTCCACGGTCTCAACCTTGTAAACCAATCCTTCTGTTGTTGCATTACTGGTGTGGTCGGCCTGGTCATTAGTTGAGCGTTATATCATCTCATGGGAGCGATATTTTGAGCTTATTACTGATCGAAACTTTTTTTGAGAAAAAACACAACATTGGAGCCGTGGGCAACTAAGAAAAATTCGTAGTGACGTAGATTTTACTTTTTTATTTTATTTTTAATATATACTATATTCCTAACTGACCGTTGAAAATCCAATCAACACTTCATCAAAACTGAAACTTCATCTCTATTTCAACCCAAATTGTATAGATTATTGACTTCCCTAATACTTAATCGCTAATTTGTAATTTCGACCTTTTGTTATTACTAGTTTCCATTTTATAATGAAGCTTCTATTGTTTTTGAGCTCGAAGACTGTTCTCGTATACAAAGGTATTACTATTCTTAGGTGTGAACATTCCCCTGATTGTGCTAATCTAATTAATCACTTGCCTGTTTCATTTATTGATGCAAATAATTGAGCCTGTGGAACGTTTATGTCTTATTATTCAATATTCGTCATCGTGCAAACGCCTATTAATTTGCAGCGACACCCCTCAAAAAAGCGCTCTATATCCTGAGTTGATACATGGAATGCGCGTTTCTAGTGATAAATTCTTCGATGAGCATCAATTATTGATGCTAAACCTTATGCTCGTTTCCGGTGATAACTTCGTAAACGAGCCTCCAGTATTGATGCTACACCGAATGCTCTTTTACAAAGACAATTTCATGAACCAGCATCCAGTATCGATGAAGCTTCGAATGCTCGTTTCCAGTAACCCATTTTCGTATAATATACATATAAACGCATAATTTATACCGCATCAGCTATATTTGTACGAAAGTACGAGTTGCCGCGCGTATATCGGATCGGTCTATATTAAATATAGGCTCTTACATATTATGTTCGCCGGCGAGAGAAGGCGGTGAGGCACGGGGAAAAAAACGTCTTGGACTGCGCTGTTCTGTGTTATTGGGCGCAAGAAAAAGCTTTATTTGTTGTAATGCAGTAGCCGCTGCTTCATTTATTGTTCGCTAGGCAAGTAACGCAAGGCCTCAGCAAGTAAAGCGAGGCTGGTCTTCGATTGTTTCATTTCTACGAATAAGTTTCTGATGAGCTAATATAAAGATAAGTAGTAAGACATACCTACATGAACTAGGCACGAGTTCTGCGATGGGGCAATCTGATACGGTATTGGATTCTCTTGCTCACTGTTTTTGCACTTTCTGATGTTGGGTTTTTGTAATCTCAATCAAAGGTATCGTAATTCCTCAAAGTTTTACGAGTGCTCTGCCCAAAATTGTAATTTGTACATTGACTGACTCGTCCAATAATTCTAATTACGTACTCGAGCTTTTTCTCGAGAAGAGTTAGCTCTTCAATTCACTCAATAGGAGGTAGTTACTGTGGCGCTGATGATTGATTATTTGGGAATCGGTTTATCGAATCACCCGTCATGTCTCGTCAAGACGTCATATCCATTGAACGCCATAACCACGGTCGGCTCCCTTCTTCGCATCTCTTCAGAATTAAAACGGAATGAAAGAATTAAATTGTTCGTATTTCCGTGGTGATGATTTTTTATTGTGGTAACATATGGTTCATGTGTCATTAGTCATGCAAGAGGCATCGTAGCCAACTCGCGTTTGCCTATGATGACCGATAATAATCTTTAAACCTTTTTCATCGTAAATATTTAATACGTACGACTTTGGATCATCAAAGACCCTATCAAGTTCACGAAATCTAATTCTTCTGTTTGAATTAGATGCGCTCCCAGTTTCTTCACGTATCCAGCGATATATAGCGCGATACGGTCACCATTATAAGTCGAAGGTATGCGGCGTTTGTATTGGAGGCGCATCTTTCATTCATGAGTGAGGCGCGACTGCAGCAAAAGTGGCGACCCTCGACGGCCTTAAACTTCCCTCTCCACTTTTTATTACGTCTCCTCCTCGCGTCCTGCATCGGATTAAGTCCCATTCACTCTAACCTCGCAAACATTCCGGCCGAAAATAATTGAGAGCTTAATAAGCGGCAGTCGTCATTGAACAATTTGCCCTAGACTTTTTCTCTGATGTTAATTATAGCTCACGAGAACTCGAGAACACGATTTATTTGTATCGCCATAAATGTTAAAGCTTTTTCAAAATTAGTAGCTATTAATCCTTCCCATCAACGGCGACGTAGATTACAGCAGTGGCCATTAGTATCAACTGCATAAATGTAAAAACAACATTTTCTGGAGTTTAATTTTTCAATTTATTGGGCTTGAGAAATGTCGAAGATATTTAATTTTGTTGATATACTCGAAATTGCTCTCATTCCAAAATTTACCTATTTATTGTTAATGTTTCGATGGCGTCGCTCACTGACTCCTTCGAAGATGCTTATAGTACACGCGGCCTTCTACAGCCCTCTTGCTGCGATGTCGACTCGGTTTTTCTACCACCGTCTCAGCTGCTGCCGCTGCTTCTCATAGCGCTCCCTCCTTCCGGCTAATTCTGTCTTGTTTGTTGGTCTGACGTGTTTTATTGCCAGGCCTCGCTACGAAGCTTCAGTTTAATCCAGTAAATTGTGCTTGATAAACACGGAATAGCATAGCATTTTCCTTTTTTTGTTCTTGTGTTATTAGGTGGTTTACGAGCAGGCCTCCAGGCCTCATTGTCCAAAATTTGCTTATTCAAGTTAATTGGTAAAGCTGACGGTAATTAAAATTTTGCTATCGTATGTTTTCAGTCTTAACGCTGAATGCATTTAGCTTACATTTTTTCATGGCATAAAACTTGCTGGAAATTTCTGAGTATTTTCTTGGTAGCCTCGGTACAAATTGTCCTCGAGTCTGTGCTCCCGACACAGCGCCTGACCCCTTACTCCCAATAGGCCTCTTCATTAGGCGATGTTTACCGCAGTTTGTAATTTGCGTCCTGATGAGCTTATCCCACGCTGGCGGCAGCAGCCACCATGTCTCTTGTTTTGATCCGTCCGCTTCAGGCTGGATCTTACTTGCAGTTTTTGCAAAACTATTTGTCCCGGCCTGGTAGACAACCACCTACTGTCATGCGGTTAGCCTTGAATCAATTTATCTTATGTCACGTCCATGACATAATTCATAGCCCTTAAATGATCTTGCTATCGGCTGGAAATGACTGAGAAGCCAATAGGAATATTTACATCCAATAACCTCTGCATGTATGACGGTTAACTAAATTAATTGGATAATATTTTAGTGTGGCTGAAAATGAGTTTATTTTGAAATTATTTATTAAGATGTTAAGAGTAGGTTGAAAGTGAGAATTATTTGGTGCAAAATGCTTAATCTGTTCTTCGATGTATACGTATGGACCGTTTGAACCATTATCGTGAAAAATTACTTAATTTTCATCTCCGTTTTCTCTTCATCTCCTCGGACAATTCGTCCATTAATATGAATAAAATTCAATGTGCAAACATTCCTTCAAATACAAGATGTCCAATGAACTTGGTCTATTGATTCATGGCTGAATGACATTAATTCGACTTGAATGTCGTTAAGTTGACACGGCGTTCGAGCGTTCATTATGAAGCCAGAGCTGCGTCTCGACAGTGTCCTCCCCACGACAGTTCACGCCAAATTGGCGCTAATTGCTTCAGTCACAGGAAGTTAGTCGCAAGTTTAGCCCCAAGTTACGACTCTGACTTTAAGCCAAGACTTCTCTTGGGCTCAGCAATGGCTTTGAATAGGTTCCCTTCTTTGGCTGCTGGCCGAGACTACGGGCTTACTACGGCTTACCCTTGAATAACTGAAGCTACAGCGGCGCCTGCTCCTCTGCGTCGCTATCAGTGCACTCCACTCGCATCTGCTCTACCTCATACCTGCACTCCACTCCCTCCTATCTACCCTCCCCTCATACCTGCACTTCACTCCCTCCTATCTACCCTCCCCTCATCCCTGCACTTCACTCCCTCCTAGCTACCCTCCCCTCATCCTTGTGCTTCATATTTATCTCGATGAAAGTTAAATTCACCGACATCGTGTTGTTTGTCATCGAAAATTCCATGTATCAACTTATTTACTGAAATTATATTGTTTTTTTTTTCAAGTAAAAACACACTTTAAAATTTGTTATTTGTCTACGTTATATATCTTCATCTTGTCTCTGATATATTGATAGGTTTATTTTGTGTATCTTCGTAAGCCTAAATCTACTTCAATGCATGGAATTCGCTGTTAATTGCGTTTCCCAACTAGGAAGATTAATGTGTATTCATTTTTTTTTCAGAATGCATGTGACTTGGGCCTTATGAGAGCGAGTCACAAGGCAGCGGGAGGCGAGTCCGCTTCTCCGACTGCTCCCAAAGACGACAGCGGAGGCGGTGGTGGAGCGGACTCCATGTCGGCTATAGGGGCTGATGCCCCCCACCGTATTGCACCTACAAGAACTCGCGCGAGCGCCAGCATGATTGATCCTAAGCGTCACCTTCTCTGGTATTCCTACATAAGCTTCGCCATGCTAGCGTTGCTGATGGTCGCTTCATCGGCTTCCGCTCTTATGGCTGAAGCCACGCACGACTCCCTCTTCATCGTGGAGAGATTCGAGGATGAGGAATGGCAGTCGTTCCAACATATCGCTGTAGATAAGAGCTCTGGCAATGTGTATGCAGCCGGTGTCAATAGATTGTATCAGTTGGATCTGAATCTGAATTTAATTCAAACTGTGGTGACGGGGCCTATCGATGACGCGATGCAATGCTCGGCCACTGGCTGTGCAGGCGATGCCATCAAAGCCATGAAACCCACTGACAACATCAATAAGGTGCTACTCTTGGACTATCTGAGAGCGCGCGTGATAGTATGTGGCACGGTGCGGCAAGGTTCGTGTCAAGTACGAGACTTGAGTAACATAACGATCCTCACACGGAATGTGAGTGAGCCTATCGCTGCCAATAACGCCTCGACCTCAACAGTAGCATTTATTGCTCAGGGACCTCCATATTACCCTCGCAGTCACGTGCTGTACATCGGAGTTACCTACAGCGGCGAGTCGTCTTACAGGCACGAAGTTCCTGCTGTGGCATCGCGGTCATTAGAAGACGACCGTTTCTTCGAGGTGGCGGTAACGGACGTGACTACCAGCACACGAATGCTCGTCAATAACCTGCACAGATCAAGTTTCCCCATCACTTACGTGCATGGCTTTGGCTCGGGCAAGTTCAGCTATTTTCTCACCCGCCAGCGAGCCGACGTCAAGGCCGAGTCACATTACCTGAGCAAATTGGTGCGCATTTGTCAGAACGACAGTGCTTATTATTCCTACACAGAAGTGCCTCTGAAGTGTCGTGACTCAAGCGGAAAGGATTATAACCTAGTGCAAGCGGCCTTCGTAGGCAAAGCTGGCAACGAACTATCTTCTCAGTTAGGCATCCAGATCAAAGACGATGTGTTGTTCGCTGTTTTCTCTCCATCTGACCCTAGCAAAGGAGCTGGCTCTGCTTACCCGACCTCGGAGAGCGCGCTCTGTGTCTACAGCCTTAAAAACATTCAAACCAAATTCATCCACAACATCCAAGAGTGCTTCAGAGGCAACGGATACCGCGGTTTGGACTTTATTTCCACGTCTAACAAATGCATTGCCACGGTGAGTTGTAGCATCAGTAAGTTATTGCTGTTATTTGGGACCTGACGAAAACGCACGAATAGGTATACAATATTTTGATGGGTATAGATTCTGTGTTATTGTTGTGCCAGGCAGGGTGTGTCACTTGATCTTTTTATTATTTTTCCATTCTGATGTTATGTTATTAAGTATTTATTTTTTCACACACTTCTTTGAGCGCTAGACAACTGGCATGAATACACATTTTGTCCACACACCCTTGCGTTGATACACTTGATTTTGTCTGCATAGTACTTCACAAATGCCGTACCTGTGTCTTACACGTGCCTCTAACTGTACCAGTACATGTGCCTGTAGCTGCACCAGTACACGTGCCTGTAGCTGCACCAGTACACGTGCCTGTAGCTGCACCAGTACATCACACGTGTAGAGATGCAGGCAACAGTAGCGCCGGGCTGGGCCGGCACTGCTGGTCGATACGGTCAGGTTTTGATGTCTGCTCAGCTCCGGCGTGCTGTGGAGTGCACGCCTCTACGGTACTTGCGGAGCACTGGAGGGACTACTAATTATTAACGGTTCATTTCATTAAAACACATTTATAAGGAAAAAACGATACACGCAGTCTCTATATATTTGTACCCTACCTCATTTCTTTGTCATTCTTCCAATATAAAGTTTGTTAATTTACACAGAACAAATTTTCAATTTTTTCTTGGAAGAATTGTTTCAAACCACATACCGTACCGGCCTACAATAAGTCAATCTGACTGAATATTGAAAATAAATCTGGCAAGTAAGTGTCACTTCGGAACAAAATGCAAAGTTGTACAAATTCTCCCCATATTGCCATGTTGTCACAATCTGTGGCTATGAAGTCTTCGTAGTTTGAATCGCAGCGGCACAGTTTGCATTTAAAACTCCTACTGATGCTAGTACTTATTAAGAGAGTGTCATGTGGGTTACCCGCCAATATTTAATTTTCATGCGCTTGTTTGCAGCGCATTCGTGATATCAACGAGGATTTCTGCGGCATGGATGTGAACACTCCGCTGGGGGGCGAACAAGCCATCGAAGTGGTGGCTCTGCTCACTTTCCCCGTCCGCCTTACCGCCGTAGCCATCACTTCCACCGAGACCTACACTGTCGTCTACCTCGGCACTACCAACGGACATCTCAAAAAGGTAGCTTCTTGACGACATCACTGCATTTACTCACTTTAACTACTCATGGCTGAATTTGTTGTCACTAATTAATTCGTTATCAGTAGCCGGCTGTTGTCAATCTACATTCTAGGACGCATAATTTACCTGCTATTTTGTATCACATTTCCAGTCTGTCTATTTAAACTACTGTAAATTTACAGCAATATAATCGTTAAGTTTTGTAATAAGTAATAACGTAACTAATAAAATTCACAGCAATCTAATCGTTAAGTTTTGTAATAACGCAACTAATGAAGTCCTATCACTTTTTTCAACCTGGAGGAAAGATAATTTTTCACAAAGAGATATTTTGTTTTTCTTGGGATGCTGCGACGTCTGATCTGCGTAGAAATGTTCTGTTTGTTTTGATGAGAGGCGCGCAATATGCGGCGGCGAACTGAGTTGTGGCGCGATCAATACGGCCGAGCTTGTTGTCTCGCATCGCGTTTTACGCACTTCATAGATGAAATCTCGGCTGGAAGCCAACGATTGTCGCATTTTATTTAGGCTTTGTGTTTGTGATGGTTTTTGACTAAACAATCGACCAATTTTGGCGTGAAGAAGTTGGCATCAAATGGAAAAACATTTCAATATTTCTGTTTATATTTCATTTTTCATCAGAACTTCCCATGAAGATTGCTAGCAAAAAAATTTTTTTTGTCAATATTTGAATTGTGATGAGCATGGAAGTTATACTGGGCTGTTTTGTCTCATCTACAAGAATAATTAATTAAGATGCTGATGGTTGTTTTCCTCTAATTCTCTTGAAGCTAAGTTAAAAAAAACGTGATTCGTTCACGGATTTTAGCGCTGCGGCGGCGTAAAATAATTATTCCGAAAGATCTGTTTGTATTGCCTTGATTATCATCAATTTTGTTTGCAATATTCAGTAGGTACGTGGATGTTGAATTTGAGCGTACATTATAAGTTTATTGATAACATTCTGTTTCTTCGTCTTTTCAAAATGATTTCACGCTCTAAATCTCAATTTAAAACCATGATTTATTCGATCGTGGGTACAGGAATACATCAGTTGATATGCGTACAATTTATGACCAGAGAGTGCATTTAAATTTTCAAGGAGTTGAACAATTCTTAGATGACGTTGGTTGATCAAAAGGCAGATTTAGCAAATAATAATACATCAGTGAAGAGAAATAATGTGGCATGGTTGGCAGGTGGTGGTCGGAGACCAGAACAGTGCTCTGGAGTACGGCGACATTACGGTGGACGAAGGCTCCCCGGTGCGACAGGATATGTTCTTTGACAAGGAGGGCGATCATCTCTACGTCGTCACTAGCAACAAGGTGAACAGAACACACTCTTTATTGCATGAGACTGATTCTAAGTATTAGGTCATCGTGCACGGTTGAGAATATTTCAAGGGATAATTGATTTCCGTTCCTATGAATGTAAAAAAAATAAGCTACGCTCTTCAAATGATTCAAGTTTTCAGCATTACGATCTTTTAACGGTGCCTTTAACAGGTCGTATTTATTCCTATACTGGTTTTGATATGAATATTTCTTCTCATATATCCCATACGGTATTTCTTTTTGATATTTTTTTAATTAACACTTCTAATTAATCAATGGTATGGATGTTATGATGGAGCGAGCTTGACGAGCATTTTCCATAAAAAATGTCAATAATTCATCCACTTACTGCGTCCTGAGTACTGAAGTTGAGTGATTCGTTTCTCCTGAAATCCATTGTTCTATAAATATATTTATCCGTTAGTATTCACTTAGAATGCCGCTGTTATCCTGGACTAGTGACTAGGAGGCAAGGGAGATCTTTCCCCCTAGTCTCCTGGGAATCCAGGACCTCGTCACCCTTTGATCCCCCTCGCTGCCTCCTCATTAAGTAACAATGTCAGGACTTCTGCCTCCATCCTACTTCTTGTAACCACGGGCTTTCTCTCGTATTAATTTGGAGACCTGTTTCTTTATTGCTTGCAATTAGATAGCTTATTTATCAGTTAGAATTATCCTTCTTGTTGTGACTGTCGTCTTTGTGTTTTCATCAATGTTATTCATTGCTCGTGTGAGGCCCTGAGATGTACATTTATCTGCTCATTTTCATTTCTACCACTGATTTCACTAATTTGTTAGTGCTAAATATATATCAGCCAACTATTCAATTATGAATAAGCAAAATATTTGGCGATTCAGTCACCAATAAGGCTGGGAAAAAAGAAGTTTACAATTTTTGACGACTCTAAAGTCTAAACTAACCCATTTACCCTCGGTTGTGAATATCGCATCATGAAAAAAACGTGTCATCAAGCTATTTTATTAAAGACAGTATTTTTATCTAATAAATTTGCGTATTTCTAAGTCTGCTTCCTGTTTTAAATCGCTGTACTGTGCCGGTGATATTGCTGTCATGGGGCATTAATCAGTATAGCTGGTGGTTTCAATTCCTATTCCTCCCCTATGGACGAATGGCCGCGGCCAGTCTCTCCCTCGCTGCCTCCATTAACTAACAATTACCTGATGAGCAGACCTCGGTCCCCTCACACGACTTCTTCATTGTGTCCCCTCTTCAGCGCTCCCTTCCTCTCTTCCCTCACCCTAGCATTCTCTTCAGTTCTCGCTCCTAACTTCAGTATTTTTTTTAAATATTCACTGAAAAAAAGATACATTGTAGGATGCAAAATATCTCTGGCAGATTTATGTACATTCTTTCTCGATGATAGATAGGTGGTTATCATATCAGAATCTCGTCATAAATTTTGATCTCGGGTACGGTAGCGCTAATGTAAAGTCTAATTATAATGCTGGACGTTACCACGTTTTACGTCTGCAAATATCGCGTGTGCAGATCTCTAAAGTGAAGGCCCAGGAGTGCAGCATCTACAAGGGGTGCGAGCAATGCTTGGGCGCCCGAGACCCGTACTGTGGCTGGTGCTCGCTGGAGAACAAGTGTTCTTTGCGACGCGACTGTCGAGATGCCACGCAGGATCCTCAACATTGGGTCAGCTACAAGACCGGCCGCTGCACCACCATCGCTAAAGTCTCCCCTGACAAACTCCAGAGAACTACCGCTAGAACTGTGAGCCTTACTTTACTATCCCGTCAGGCTAGAGCACGCCAAACAAGTTTGATTTCGTACTTTGTAATATGATTGCTGTCTCCATACGCATTCTAGCTGATGCTCGTATATTTTCGAAGTGGTTGTTTAGGAACAATTATTTCGTCAAAAAAGGCAAAAAATTTAATAACCAACATGCGAAATTTTTCTTAACATCTCGTATCATTCATTTCGGCAGGCGCTCAGAAATGAGCTCATTGGTTTTAGGACTAGATACTTCAGTCTGATATTTAATTTGGAAGACGTCGTTTTGTGGTAAATTATATATGATGCAACGAAGTCTAATGCAGTGTTCAATTTTCTAACCTGAATCTGGTGCCAATATAGTTAGTTTTAATCTTATTTAGATGAAGGTCTCTACGACTGTGGGTATTTGACTTTAATTTTCTATTGCAGCTGAACTTGATCATCGAGAACCTGCCATCAGTAGAAGGGCCCCTGGAGTGCGTGTTCCGGGCCATGAACAAAGTGCTGACGACGCCCGCCAAACGTACCGCACAGGGCGTGCAGTGCACCACACCTCGCAACGACATGCTCCCTGACATACCTCAGAACCAGCGTCAGTACCTATACATATATGAATGCATGCTATATCTTAACCTTTGGAAATATTGATAATTCTGTCGCTTATATCTATTAACAATTAATGCAGCGTCAGTACCTATACATTAATATGAACTTATTCATTTATGAATGTATGCTTGATCTTTACCTTTGAAAATATTGATCACTGTGTCGCTTCTATCAATTAATGATTCTTAGCTCAATTTTATCGTGCTATTGAAGCGTATGTGAGCGGTTTTTTCAACAGATGTTGGCATTCGAAGAGATGCTTTATGGCATGAACAAAATTCACGCAAAGTGGTTATTTCTTTATTTCTTTAGTAAGTTTTAGTTTCTTCCCTCAGACCATTTCACGGCCGACCTGTGGGTGCGTAAGGAGGAAGGCCCCGAGTTCGTGTCAACGAACTTTACGTTCTTCGACTGCAACACGTACAGTTCGTGTACCGAGTGCGTGTCTTCTGACTTTCCCTGCGACTGGTGCGTGGACGGGCACAGATGCACGCACGACTCTGCTGAGAACTGCCGCAACGACGTCCTCGTTAACGGCGTCAAGGTAATCTTGACGACCGCATGACGATATTCAGGGTAATATTCATGACAATATTCATCTGGAGCGGCTCTAAGCCCCTTGACAACCCCAACGATATTCATGGTAGGAAGCTAAATTCAGGTACAGGCCCTATATACTTAAAAAAAAAGTTATGAGATCGTAAGTTCATCGGCCAATCATTGACGGTCTTTCAAGCCAAATTCACCAATCATAGACAAGAAAGTAGAGCGTAAGTATTTACGTTCACTTAGCGAGTTTTGAAAGTATGGCACCTGGTCACGTGTACCACCTGAACGTAGCTTAACTGCACACTGCACAACCGCAGGCCTGCACTAGATCATGTCTATCTCTATTTTTTATCATTGTATTTCAGAAAAATATAACTCAGTACCGGTATTCACTGCAGAAAATGACAGAGAGCCCATTTTCTCGTTAACGAAAATGTGGAGTCACGGACGGACAGACAAACGGAAATGACGAGCACAATAGCGCCTTTTTTCCGTAAATGAGAAAATGCGCTAAAAATGCTCTTACTTGTGCATGATTTATGTAAAAGCATAGGCTGTGCTTCTCAACTGGCAAGTTTTGTTGTCAGTTCTCGTCCTTATGCTCAAGGTTGTCAGTTCTCGTCCTTATGCTACAATTATTCAATTACTACACACAGCGCGTGGGGCCAAGCATCAGGAGCGGGCCCACCTTCTGTCCCCGCATCACCGTGGTCGAGAGCGAAGAAATCCTTGTTTCTTCTGGCACAGAAAAAAGCATTAAAGTCAAAGTCGACAATATTGCTGTGAGTAACGACTCATTCTTTGGTTTTTAAGATATAATGAAGTTATTTTCAATTTACATACGAATTAATCCCGCAGTTTTACATTTGAATGTCAGTTAATTAATCATTCCATTGATATTTAGTGTGACACTTCGTTTAGCTGAATGTTGAAAGACGCTAAAGCATCATCATTAAGTTGTGCAATCGTATATGCCTGTTATGCATTCGGCTCTTATTTAACGCAATTCACAAAACTCTCTTGAATGACGTGCTAATATCTCGGCATTATTATTTGAGCCTGAAGCTTAGCGCCACTTCCCATAACTGTCTTTGTTTATGTTGCAGCAATTCATCACCCAGACGCGCTTCGTGTGTCAGTTCAACATCGAGGGCCGCGTGACGAGCGTGACAGCAAAGCTCCTGAGTGACACCATCTACTGCGATAAGATGGAGTTCGTATACACCACACCATCGCCCTCCACCAACGCCAGCTTCGCCGTCATCTGGGGCGGCTCTAAGCCCCTAGACAACCCCGACGATATCCATGGTAAGAAGCTAATCTTGGCTTTGGTTTAAACTTTTGTCGCAATTAGTTTTTCCCCAAGGTTTGGAATTTTACTAATTATTTTCTTTGCTCATACAAATAGAAGCTGGCGTGGCTGCTTCTATTATAAAGTTTTCTCTAAAAATAAAATTGTATTGTCATCATCGTTCCTCCTTGCTGTGTTCCGTAAATTCCTCACTCTGACAGTAGGTAAAGCTCAGTTACTGTGGTGTTCACCATGATTTGACTTCAAAATTACTCTAATTTCCTTCCATCTCAATTACTCATTATAGACTCTGTGAGAGTATATTTCGATATCATTGCAAATATCAACATTTAAATGAACTTCCTCATTACTGATATAATTATCGTTTGCAGTGTTGGTGTACCAGTGTCAGCTGATGGCTGATAACTGCGGTCAGTGTCTATCGCTGTCCGAGCGTTACCAGTGTGGTTGGTGCCAGTCAACGGGCCGTTGTATGGTGTCGGACAAGTGCAGTGGTGGATCTGCCTGGCTACAACGAGACAAAACTTGTCCCAACATCAACGTGACTTCCTTTTATCCGGAGACTGGGCCATGGGAGGGAGACACCAATGTCACAATTCACGGTGAGGCATGGGGGTGAAAATTCCACAGACTTTTGCGGGATTCAACAAATGGCGCTAAGATTCCCGTACCGGTACCAATTTGAAGAATGAGATTAATAAGGTTACATTAATTCTCCCAACAATGTTTAAAAAATGTTCTTTTTATGAACAAGACAATAGCAAGTCACTTGATCTGAGCTAGTCGTTTTGCACAACTTGAGTGAACTTTTTGAGGGATACGGTAGTTTTTCCATTCTGATACAACACGATTCGATTCAATTGTTTATTTAAGTCATTCGTCTTCTTCTCCACTGCGTGAATTTGATATCAAATGACAATTTTTTAGCTGAGGTTGAATGCAAGACCCTCAGTTTGAGGGCGAGGAATAATTCCTATAAATTCTTGTTAGTCTCATAGCCACAAATAATTCTTCATTATTTTTCCATTGAGAATTTGATAGCCTTACGAAAAAATCTTGTGTTGTGAATGAGTTAACTTATGTATGTGATTTCTTGCAGGCATCAATTTGGGCAAGCATTTCAACGACATTTACGACGGCATCACCATCGCCGGCATCCAGTGCCAGCCCTTCCAGGAGACCTACGTCCCCACCGAGCAGGTCACCTGCAGGGTCGACAGTCCCGGAATAGACGAGTACAAGGAGGGACCTGTCGTTGTCATGGTACGCAGTAAATTGAACATGGAAATTATGAAAATTATGAATAATAGAGCTTCTTGCTCTATTCCTTGAATGGTACGCACTAAATTAAACATGAAAATTATCTTCCTCTTCAACGACGAGCATCATTTGCTTTTGGCTCTGCATGCTCTATTCCTTGACTGCTCATCAATTTACTGTAGCTTGTTGTAGCTTTTAGCTTCGTTATCAAGTTCGACATTAATTATTCGCTTTTTATTTTTTCTCTCGTGGAAAAAAAATATGTTTTAAGCAGTTGTCATTTATTTTCCGTTTGAATTTCTTTACTTTAATGTTCACGCTATCCATTCTTATTCTTGGTATATAACAAATTTACCCAATTACATTAGTCGCTTGGTTGATTAATGCTCTGTTAGTTACCGAGTTGTGCCTTAATTGTTCATCCTTATTGCGCCAATCATATACAGCGACCCGAGTTCTACCATCTGACTATATTTTTGATGTTATTCTAAATAGAATCATTTTACTCGTGAAAATCAACCGAGAGCTCTTATATTAACTTATGTTTTTCTTTGAAGTAACTAAATGGTTTGCACTGATTGAGTTGTTAGGAGTCGGTTTCATTCAAACTAGATCGTTTCTTTAGAATAGCTAATGAATTAATTTGTCCATTATCTGTTTAGGTTGCCAAAGAATTTCGTGGTGAGTCAGCTGGCAAGTACAAGTTCGTGAACCCGAAGATAACTTCAGTGACTCCCACCTCTGGTCCGCTGAGCGGCGGTACTGTGATCTACATCAGCGGCGAGCACATGAATGCCGGCAGCAACATCACAGCCAGCATCGCCGGACTGCCGTGCCACATCATCACGTAAATCACTTCATTTATAATCACTAAAGGAAGGCCTATTCGTTCATAGCTGATTCATCAAGATGGCTTTTGACCTCAAGTAATTTACACTCCTTTCAATGTGAGGATTTCGAGCTTCTCAGATGGTCGGAATTCTTATTGTTTTTACCACCATAAGATATAATCTCTTGATGTACGTTTTACTTTAACAATTGGTGGAAAGATTCAATTTTTGCCTGTTATGCTCTGTTGCAAAATCATCGGTTTAAACATAGACATACATTCATTTCTTCTCTCAAATCTAAATAAAAGTACAACAACCAATTTCGTCCTTGCGAACTCTTCTTAACCAATGCTATGCTGACAGATCGAACAGCACAGTAGCGTGGTGCAGGACGAGCGCAAGCCACAAGAAGCACCAGGGTTAAACATTGACATACTCTCATTTCTTCTCTCAAATCAACATAAAAACAACAATAATTCTTCCTTGCGAACGCTTCTTAACTAATGCCTTGGTGACAGGTCGAACAGCACGGTGGCGTGGTGCAGGACGAGCGCAAGCCACAAGAGGCACCAGGGCAGCGTGGTCATGAGGTTTGACAAAGGCGTGCGGGAGCTCGCAGGCCAGCGCTTTACTTACGTTGATGATCCTGTCATTACGAGCGTCCGTAGCGGCAGAGCTGGCCAGGCTGCGGGAATGGTGAGTCATAGTGTGTCTCTAGCACATCGGGTAACTGGTGACGAATATATAATAGTACAAATTTATATATCATGATATAATCATATAATTATGATGCTATATTATGATAATGATATAGGTAGTACTTGTGGTAGTACTACCTGATATAGGTAGTACTTGTGTGTGCACAAGTACTTTTGTGTGTGCACAAGTACTTATGTGTGTGCACAAGTACTTTTAGCACAAGTACTACCTATATAGGTAGTGCTTGTGCTAAAAGTACTTGTGCTACAAAACATGTGGTTTTATCGGATATATTATTTGTTTTAACTTTTTATGGTTCATGAGTTGATTATGCTCCTAGGTGAAGGTCAGATTCGTTCTCATGTTTTCATTATTAATTAACCATGTATTCTTAGAGCACGAGTATTATCTCTTTATTACACAGATGATCACTCATCATGGCCTCCAACATGTGACTTCATCAAAAAGCATTCACTGAGAATTTTGAAAATACTGATGAAGATTTTATGGTGTAAATGACAAATTTTAATAACTTTCAAATTATTTATAGCGCAACGGGCCACGCGGTATACCGAACGGCGGGATTATCATCACCGTCGACGGACGAGGGTTTGATGTGATCGCTGAGCCCAAGATGTACGTGGAGTACGACGACGTCGAGTTCAACAGTGTAAGTTGAAGCTCTGCATGATATTTTCATGTATCACTTCAGAGAAATGTCTTTCCTATAGAAATGTCTTCACTTGAAGGCCGTTTGTGAGAAGCGAAGATATTTTACAATAAATTAATTTGTTTTCATACGCCTGATTGGATTAATGTTCCTTGAGGGCCATACTAGAATCTGCTTAACTTATTCGTCTTAATATTTATCTGGACGTTTGTGTAAAATCAAATGGTTAACATGCCTGTGAAAATGAAATTCATAGTACACATAAAAAACTCGTAATGGTGTTCCTCTGTACATTTTCTTGCAGCCTTGCTTCGTGAAGAATGACACCCGCATGGAGTGCCGCACTCCCGAGATCCTGATACCTCCGGAGCGCGAACGCGAGCTGGACCCTACCAACGGCATGAATTTAATGTACGGCTTCATAATGGATAACGTCACGAGTGTACGCAACCTGCCTCAAAACAACCACAACAGCCTGCAATACTTCTCGCTCTTCCCAGACCCAGAATACTACGCGTTTGGGGAAGATGATGACACCGTCAAAGAGTATAAATCTGACTACTTGACCATCAACGGAGCGAACTTGGATCGCGCCTCACAAGAACTTGATGTAGAAGTTCGTATTGGAGACGAGTTCTGCAACGTAACTTCGTTGTCGCGGTCTCAACTGACGTGTAGACCTCCAGAAGAGCAACCGTCCCCTGCACCTGGCGATAAAAGTGACACAGGCTTGCCTCTGGTCGTGGTCAAAATAGGCAACAAACTTGAGTATAGAATCGGTCGTCTGCAGTACTCAGGGCTGTCTGAGGTGGGAGCCTTCAACCAGCAGCTCATTATCGGGTTGTCTGTGGGCGCTGTGGTACTCATCATCATCTTGATTGTGTGTCTCATCGTCTACCGTCAAAAGAGTAACCAAAACTCGCGAGTACTCAAGAATATGCAAGAACAAATGGATGTCCTGGAATTGAGAGTTGCCGCGGAGTGTAAAGAGGGTAAGCGGATTTGTAAAATCGTTAGAAGTCAAATATTTATACTCCTCTATTTGGTGCCAGTTCATTTGTAATATAATGTGCTTATAATTAGTAACTTGAGGTATATTATTGATGATTTTCCTTTCGAAATCTATTATTGTATTTGAGTAGTGCGTTTCATTGATGCCAGACAATGAAATATTCAGAAGTTTTTGGTGTGAAATGTTTTTTAATGGCGGCCTCTCATTTCCAGCTTTCGCGGAGCTTCAGACAGAAATGACAGACTTGACGAGTGACCTGATAGGAGCTGGCGGAATACCTTTCTTGGATTATCGCTTCTACACAATGAAGATCCTTTTCCCTAACATGGATGAAACTTCAGTCCTTCAGATGGAAAGGCCCGACTTGGACAGAAAAGAAAAGGGTCTCAAGATATTCAACCAACTTATCTTGAACAAGACTTTCTTACTTCTGTTCATCAGGACTCTAGAAGCTAATCGCTATTTTTCTATGCGCGATCGTGTCAATGTCGCTTCCCTCATTATGGTGGCTTTGCAAGGCAAGATGGAATATTGCTCTGACATCCTGAAAACTTTACTAGCCGAGCTTATTGAACGTTGCATTGATGGCAAAATTCACCCGAAACTTCTTTTCCGCCGGACTGAGAGCGTTGCTGAAAAAATGCTCTCGTCCTGGTTCACTTTCCTGCTTTACAAATTCCTGAAGGAATGTGCGGGCGAGCCTCTTTACATGCTCTTCAGGGCCATCAAACAACAGGTGGACAAGGGGCCTGTAGATGCCGTATTTAGTGAAGCGCGATACTCGCTTTCTGAAGAGAAGCTTATCCGCCAGAGTATCGAGTACAAGGAGATGACCGTAGAAGTATCCATGTGCCAAATATACCTCGGTGGAGGTGGTGACGGCACTGTTGAGGGCGGAGAGACTCCAGTGAAGGTGCTTGACTGCGATACCATTAGTCAGGTGAAGGAGAAGGCCCTGGATGCAATCTACCGATACTACCCTTACTCCCACCGCCCCTGGCGAGACGAGCTCGACCTCGAGTGGAGGACTGGCACCTCGGGTGAGATTTTCCTTCTAATACACACTCGGCATCTAATTTCCTAATGCTTTGAAAAAATTTAAATAGCCATAAAGTGAATGATATTATTCTATTTCAAATTCACATTATTATGTAACATAATCATCATTCTCCCAAGTTTTCGCATCCTAGTTTTCTTAGCATATTTTACTGTCAATTATAGTTGCTAATGTTCATTTTTACTAATTCGGCGATGTTCTCTGGCGTAGGTAGTACGTAAAATTATAATGTCATTGCTCACATGCCATGCCTGTTCAATTGGCACAAAACATAAATTGAATATATTTTATCTTGTGCAGGTCGACTGATCCTGTACGACGAAGACAGCACTACACGGGCGGAGAGCGGCTGGAAGCGTCTCAACACGCTCTCTCATTACAACGTGCCCGATATGGCACAGCTCACACTTATCCCGAAACAGTCATCCCTCTATAACTACATGTCAATGCTCTCGGATAAGTCGGACAAGTCTCACCACCAGAACCAGCACCACAACCATCAGTCCCAGCAGCACCAGAAATACGAGACTCTTAATCTCAGTAAATTTAGCTCGGCCAGCCCTCCTCTATCTCGGGCTACGTCTCCTCTTAACCATGACAACGACGCTGGAGTCAAAGTGAGCTCAATTTATTCATACCACTTCGAAAATCCTCCTTACAATCCTAAAGTGAGATGTATATGAACTTGATACTTGATTGCTAAGGTGTATAATTGACGAACATTGTCATATTAGACTTTGGTTTAATTTTTTTATCGGATTTATGAAACTTGAAACACATGGGTCATTATGCCTGATTTTTGGAACATGTGCCCGACATGAAATAAATTTTGTTGCAGTTCCTGGTTAGCTGAAAGGAAAGAGACCCGGCGTTCCCCGTGTCGAATGTTTAAATTTGATTCAATGCATGATACCTGAATGATTATTATCGTGCGTTCTAAAGCATTTCACTGAATGAAATTATAAAATCCCTTTCAGTTTTTTCATGCTGCTTTATCTCGTTTATGATTTTGTTCTCTGAAATTACATGAATCGTTTATTTACGTTTTGTTTATAGATTATGTTGATTTATGCATATAAATTTTGTTTTTTGCTGTTGATTTTGTTGACGTGGTGCCTCGGTCTCTCCTTAGAATTTCAGTTACAGTCGCGTCAGGTCGCCGAAGGGCTCTACTTTTGCAGATGACACGACCTTCTTACATCCTGCCTTCCAGCAAAGACAGAGGGACACGCAGTCCTTTGATAACAACTGCAGAAATAATAAGGTTAAAATTACACACTTGCGTTCATTTTAATAGCAAGTGAGCTCGTTCACTGTTTGGTTTATCCTAACTCGAGTGGTGTTCGCTCTTCTCACGTATCTTGACTAACGCCTGCCTCTGGGACTCACGCGTTCACGCTCTGGCTCACTCTATCTAGTCTTCTTGTAGTCAAGGAGTATCAAATTTCAGCAATACGTTGCACTGTAGCCACAGTTTCTGCGATGTGTTCGTAAAACACTCGCTTCACGATTTTATCGGTGTTCTGTGGACCACAAAAATCACTCTTTTGGTTTCTGACTTTGAGTTTTATGTGTACAACAAATCCAACAATCCCAAGTATAATTTCGTTTGTTTCTCACTTTGAATTTTTTATTATCGCGCCCTCTCTAGTTTCTCAAAATAATATCCGTTCATGGCAGTATCTCTTCATTTCTCTAACATTCTTTAAAAATCTACTAGAATGCACTATATGTGTCTCCAATTTTAGGCAAGTTAATAAAGCAAAGCATCAAAACATTCATTCTATTAACATTATTCAACTAATTGATCATCGCATTCATTCCCTTCTACACTGTTCATTCACTTATTTCGTGTTTCTTTCAGAAGTACAGTATGTGAGTTCTTTGTTTTCAGATCTACAAGGCGTACTAAATAAGCTAATCTTCGTTAAGTTTATTTCCTTGCGCTTTTGTAAGCCAAAGTTCGGTGCCGGATGCTCTTACCATGGAACGTAATTACGTGCTGAAAGCTGTCAATGCTTACTAGCAATTCCAGACAAGCATATATTCACACCTCACAGAGGTCGTTTTATAGACCCAACCTGTTCTACGCGATTGCCCGCTGAGACTAAATGTGTGAACTTGTCATCGTGACATTCTTGCTTCTAACTCCTTCTGCTTATTTTTTTAAAGTTTATTCTTTGTGTTCCATTGTTATGCACTTCTTTGTTTTATAAAAATTAGTTCGTTTCTAAGGTAAAACAAGTAACGTCTCTAGCATTCTCAACCAGCGAGGCTTCAAATGTTGTTCTTTTATCGCATTAATCAGATGCTAAATGTAGAGCGCGATACAAGGCTTGCTATTATACTAACTGTACTATCCCGACTCATTTATACCCCATGTATAATAGTTGTGTGACTGTGTACATCATTTTTTGTGAGTTTTGGCTTGAATAATTTCATTTGTTTTCCATTAAATTATTTTGATTTTCCATCGGGTTTATATTTTTATATTAAGTTTTTCATTATATTCAAATTTTTATTCCGTGGCGCTGTGCAGGTGTGGCATTTGGTGCGGCAGCAAGAGACAGAACAACGCGAAGGCGAGCAGCGCTCCAACAAAATGGTCTCTGAAATTTACCTCACTCGTCTCCTCTCAACCAAACTCACCCTGCAGAAATTTGTCGACGATCTATTTGAGACGATATTCAGCATCGCCCACCGGGGCTCAGCTTTGCCATTAGCCATTAAGTATATGTTCGATTTCCTGGATGATCAAGCCCTGCAGCACGGCATCACAGACCCTGAGGTGATTATTTTCACCACTTCTTTGTTTGTGCATACTCATCATGAAGAGTTATCTGTGGTTTATTAACCTGTAAGCCCAAATCATTGCTTTTTTCCATAAAACTTTTTGTATGTATCTTGTTTTACAACTTGACGCTTCCTAATCATATGCTGTTCAAAATGTTTTCAACTTGAGCAATGGAGCTGATAATTTGGTTGTGTTCCAGGTTGTTCACACGTGGAAGAGTAACAGCTTACCGTTGCGGTTCTGGGTCAACCTCATAAAAAATCCCAATTTCGTCTTCGACATTCACAAGTCGAACATCGTCGATGCTTGCCTCTCTGTTGTGGCACAGACTTTCATGGATTCTTGCTCAACGTCCGATCACAGATTAGGTAAAGTTAGCAACTGCTGCTGATTAGCCAAAAGCAATGTCTGATTAGTAAATCTTTATTACTGTTGCTTTGATGATTTCATAGTAAAATGCAACATGGTAGCATATATGTTCTCAACTACTACTTATAATTACTATATCACAATACCGGTAGTAATAATAATTTGTACCAATAACAGGGGATTTTAGTTAAATTCCGTCGTTTTAATACATTGATGCATTTGCAGGTAAAGATTCTCCGAGCTCTAAGCTGCTGTACGCCAAAGACATCCCCATCTACAAGGAGTGGGTGGACCGCTACTACAGCGACATTAAGATGATGCAGCCCATCTCCGACCAGGACATGAACGCCATGCTGGCTGAAGAAAGCAGAGTCAGTGTCCGTTTGGTCTAATGCTAATTTTTTGCTCTTGGAGCATTTATTTTCACTAATACAATCGTGGATAGATTCTAATGAGATAATTTATCGCAGTGATATGGATGCTTCGATCATATATGAAAACTCTTACGAATAGGGTATGCATTATCCAGATAAGAAAGACAGTAGCAACAGTAAAAGTCCAGTGAAAAAACTTATATTATATTAAATTATTATTATATTATTATTACTATCATTATTATTTATTAATAAAACTTATATTATTATATTTAATTACAATAATTGCAATTTGATCCATTGGAATTAAATGTCCATTATTGGATGCAGAAGATTCTATTCATGTTACTTCGTTTGTTCTACATTGTGTGTAAGTATGTAATTTTTTAATTATGTGATCAGATGCACGCGTCGGAGTTCAACACGATGGCAGCGCTAGCCGAGCTCTATGGCTACGCCTTCAAGTACAACGACCAGCTCATCCTAGCCCTCGAAGAAGACGAATTCTCAACTAAGCAGCGACTCGCTTATAAGCTCGAGCAGATACACAACATCATGTCCAACGACTGACAAGACGCCCCTGCCCAGCCTTCCAATCCTCCTCCTGAACCGGCTCCTCCTTCTTCCCCATCTCGTCTGTACAGCAGCCCTGCTGGGATGATCCCATCCAACAACCAGCATCATTCCCCAACTAGGCATTACCCTACCCACAACCCCAACGCTCCTAACAACCACCAACACTCACCCACCCGACATTATTCTTCCCACACTCTTGCTAACGCCTCGCATGCTGGAAGTGGAGGCCAACATTCCCCCACTCATCACTACGCTCCCCCTGTGCCTGTTGGACCTCCTCCTCACCAGCTACCTCCGCATTACCAGTCCCAACTGGAGACAGCCTTTTTCATGAGGGGCCATGATGGACCCGGCGGTCCAATGGACAATATGGTTGACTTGAATGGTGGTGATCACAGTGGCAGCGGAGTGGGCGCCGGTGGGCCGGGCATGGAAAGTGGGGACATGTATTTGTATGGAGTGCCTCATCATGGGCCTAGGTTGTCGCCAGCTCCGTTCCCCACACATCCACACTACAATAACAGACCTGGTCCTGATGTTTATGAGTTCGAATATGAAGAGCCGCACTTTACCTGAAGTTCAACCGTGTCAACTATCACGGGTTGCGACGTGAGTCTCTAGTAAGAAATTCCCACCATTATACTCCGAAGATTATGATGCAGGCTGCAAACTATGGAGATCAAGCGAAAAGCCGTCATCTACCACCCGTTAGATTTTGGTGCTTGATCCAGCAAGGATTTTAGGTAAATGCTCCCGGATCATTATCTTCCAATTTCATAATTCTTGATACACTTTGGCATTATAAAGTTTCTTTATAAACAATGTTAACTTGATGTAAAGCGATGGAAAAAGTCTCTCAGTAAAGGAAAACATACCCTACTAGACATATAACCTTTGATCAACGTTGAATGAGACGTTGTTCGGTCGAATCAATATTAATTAAGCGTTGTTTCAACGTCACTTGCCTGGTGTCTAGTGTTCATCAGCGCATGTTTGCATTCATTCTAAATTTCTGATGCATTTCTCAGACCGATCCATCCTAGATCTCAATTAATAAGTCTAGTAGAATTTGATCTCTAGAAAGTGCATTGTGGAAAAATAACTTGCCCAAACGTAGTCAGATTTTAAGAAGATTATGCATCGTTAAAAGTATGATAGCTTCAATCTCAAATTAATCAGCCTCTCATTCTTTTAACTGCGCGAATGTGAGTTCGATATTTAGCATGAAATTTAAATCGATTTCTGATACAACAAAAGTTCGCCTGCGGCATGAAAATACTTCTTTTTGAATCAGACTGTTTAAGAGAGTTCTTTTCGAAACTCTTGACGATGATAGTACTGTAGTGAACCTCTTCCCTGCTCACAAACCCTGTCGCTTATGTTCTTCGACAGTGTGCGCAGATCATATGTTTAAGTTTCAGCGTTTCATTGTGATAATTCCGACTATTCGGTGTGTAAGCTTTTTAGTAAGGATATTTTAGCGAGTAGATAAGTGATCACTGTCAATTATTTTTTTATATTACAATGACGACCTGACTTGGTCACGGGAGGCAACAGGCAAGGCTAAACTGCAAAATATTAGTCATGATATTTTTGTCCCAATTAGAGAAATATCAGGGTTACGAAATAGCCTGTTCAACTTAGCATAGTCTGCTCAAGTGAAGAATTTTGTTCTTTATAGCGGTAAATGACGAGTGTGCTAAAGCTTCATAAAATCCGCAAAAGTAAAACTGCACGTGGGGTCTTGACTTCAATAATTGAGCAGCGCTTATTCCTGGCTGAGCCGTTCAGCACATTAAGTACTATATTAATGTTCGGCTTGTTAAGATGCGGTACTGTATCACTCTTCGGTATCATCGAGTGTGTTTAATCTTTTGCTGAAATTTACTCAACATATAACATTGTGCCCAGAGTATAGCACTGCAGCGGTCGTACTCGTGTACAATTACCGTGAGTGTTTTAGCCAGTAGTGCGGTATAACTGCTAACCATCATAAGCTCTGAAGACTTAACACAGTCGTGTCATATCAGCCTGTATTCGCGCCTGCCCGTGTATCTGCTTGGTATTGTTACGCAATAGCTGCTATCTTAACAATCTGTACGTGTCATCATGTGTAAATGTTTAAGCTTCTGACGTTAGTCCGTGTCTTTATAAATATTATGGCAAACACATTTCAAGTATTATTCGTTGGAAGCAGGTTTAGAAAAGATTAATGTAAAAGTATTACTATTAATTAGGTACGGATTATAATGGTTCAGCTTGATAGGTTTTCACCCGAGTCGGATACTGATCTGCAATATGGCTACAGTTTCCCATTGAAATTCTCAGCAGTATTGACACCTTTCGTCACTTGTCATTCGTTCGAGGTTCGGATGCCTGGCTGCATTCTATTCGTTTTCTTCGATGTCTCGTATCAAGGCCTTACTAAGATTTGTTAATCATCCGTCAGCTTCCATTGGGTGTGCAGTGATTTTGACGCTAGCCTCAGCTTTTAATTCCATCGTCAGTCGTTTGCTCAATCGTTCATTGCGTGTAATACTCATTTGAATCCTCTAAGAACGCTATTGCAGATGTCTTGGTATTTATTATTTTATCGTTGACCTTTTTTGTATTTCTGTTACCATCTGTTCATTCAAATGGTAACATCTGAATCTGTTCATTGTTACCCGAAGTTCATTCAGTTTCTTAACTGCGTTCTGATCTACGTCATTACATGTCACTACCTCTCCTTTAAAGCACATGTCACTACATGCGCTTTTGAATACGTATATAGCCATTATTTGTTTTTGATCAAAATTACTCGGTATTTTGATCGCAGTGGATCTCCTCCGAAAAGCCTTTTATCGACAAACATAAATACGCTGTAACGATAGAAAGAATAATTCAATAATTCGATGTTCTTGAAAGATAAACTGTACCTGAGCGACTCTCGTACTTTTGAACACTCAACTTCTTGACAACTACGGTAACGCTGTTGGTGCTTCGCACTTGTACGTATCTCATTCCTCTTAAATTATTTTTTAATCTATGTCCAAAGACTTTCTTTCTTTCAGCATTTAATTAGTTTACCAAAATCTAAAATTATGCGGACCGAAATTTTCGTTTCGCCCCAAGAAGATCGGTCTGGTGACAATGTTTGCTACTCCACTGATGTTATTTTTGGGAAAGTTGTTACTGTACACGAGTCTCTGCCGCTTCATAAAATCGAAAAGAGTTTGTGTTATTGTCCGTCGCTGTAGAAACTTGTTTCACTTCGCGGTTTTTAGCTTGCATGTAGAAATAATTGATTATTTATCGCGTTCTTAATAATTTTATTTTCCATCTCGATGTACTCGATTGTGTTGAGTTGTTGTACTCGTGTGTACAGGTTAGTCATTCTTTCTGTTGATTGTTTTTATATTATTTTGTGATGTCTGATCTTGTGGATTATCTGATATCTTTATGTGCTTTACTCTTGTATAAAATAAATCATATGCAGAATACTCACATTAGCGAGACCTGCTCGAACAAGCTGCCCTCGCAGTAAATAGCTAAACCCTGCATTTCTTGTGCCGACGGATGCGTCGTCTTATTCATAATTATATTCCTACAAAATTTCGGGAAATTTTTCAAACAGTAATGGCTTGGATCTAACCGCTTTATCTTGATGTCTTTGTCGGCTGTAGTAAATATTTTTTTTATCTTGTGAGCCTTACATTATTTATATATACTTAATTATTGCGATTGTTTTTAACTGTAAGCCTTCATGTCGCTCACACCCGAATGACGGTTATACAGAAATTCCAATTTCAATCTTCGTAAACCATATATTTACTGAATATTTCTACGATTTTAACCGTTTATGTACATTATTTTGTGTATAGTTTCTTTGTATCATATTAGGTGAAAAAACTACATAGCGTTTAAATAATCAATTGAATGACAGAAAAGTGGCCACGACCCGTGAGGCTGGGGGACTGAAATATCTCATCGATTGAACAATACATTCTAAACCTGAAACCAAAGCATGAATTAAGTTATGGCAAACCTTGGCTTTCAATCTAGAAGATTAGTACTGTCGTTAAACTACACTTGTAATTTTAGAATAATCTCTCATCGCGTCGAATTATCTCAATGACCGGCATCTCGTGAGGTAACAGTTTTATCAAAATTTATTTGGCACACTTTCAAACGTTGTTCTTTTTCTTTACAAGACAAAATCTATGTTGTATTCTTAATGCGAGGTTCTTATCTCTCGAATGAGAAACACTCGTTGCCTATATTGACTTGCATTTTTCTTTTCTAATTCTTGTGAGGCCAATCTTTAGTGTTAAATGAGTGCAGGCATATGAAGTGAAGGGTCGTGGTAGGTACGGCGTGTCTGATTGTGTAAATATTATTCTAGGAGTAATAATATTAGTAATATTCATTACTATCGCGTACCATGTCTTCAAGTATCAAGCCATTCTTCCTTTGACAGGAATGGTTTAAGGCATTTTTTATGGTGTTACAATACGTGAAGCTAGCCAGTGTCATAGCCATTAATTATGCCAGCTCTGTGCATCCCTTTCCAATTTTGCTCTATTTTCCCTCTTCGATTCAGTTTTCTTTATAGCTTCACCCGGTACTGCAGCTAAGCATTCGACGTTTTAGTTCTGTACGTAATTTTACAAAAAATAATTGAGCTGATTTAATGAACTCCTTATCCCAAATGTGAAATGTCCCTCGTTTGTACCGAATTTATTGCTTGAATAATGATGAACCTGATGGGTTCATCGTTTGTTGGTACAGTAATGCCCTTTCTATTCTCTGTAGACTTCGAAACTCGTTGCCGCTAAACTTTATTGTTGCTTTCAATGGAATTAGCAGTTAATGGATTTTCTGAACCTGTACATTCCTGATCTATACATCGTCTGTCTGTCCTTTGGAGTCTCTCAATAGTTATCCTGCTATGAATGCTATATTCTCTCGCCGTGCCGTAATTCCCGTAACAGAATAATGATCATCTGTAGTTATTTAAAGCGCGAGATTAATATTTATAAGGAATAATAATTTTGTGCATTCGAATGGACTGATGATATTTAAGTTATCCACACTCGCGTCCGTAGATAATTTCTTATAATCCCGAATCGTGGTTTATCGACATCTTCAAATTTTCCGCACTCGAGCTACAAACACGGTCCTCTTTCGACTTAATTTTTGTTCTCTGGGTTGAACCCAGTGTTCTGGTGAAAATTTAACATACGCCCTTAGTTTCACGGCTCAACAGTGAAATGTTACTGTTGCGTTACTGTCCCTAATCACAGCTGTACAGGCCCGCACCTTGTATGTTTGTCATATCTGTGTTTCATATAAATGGATAAATAAACTTTTTCACTGTAATACCCTCGCGTGTTTATTTTCTCCTCACCTTGTATCATGATCATTGGGCAGAATCTGGTTCTATTCTATGAATAGATATTAAATCATGTCCCTTGGTCATTATGACAGAGTAATACACGTAAAACTGAAGTAGATATGTAGGTCGCTCCGTCGTAAATTTGAAAGTTAAGGATCTCACTCACGCTACACTGCGTGGCTCTATATCCAGACTAGGCCTGCAACGCCAACTTCTTTGAGCTTGGGGTTACCGCTTGCCCATTTTTTTATCCATATGTAAATTGTGCATACAATGTACAAGAAAGCACTAGGCTCTGGCTTCATGGTTTCCGATCTTTGACAGCCTACATTGCGTGGAATTTTTTTTATTTTTTATTTATTTATTTTTTTTTTTTGCGTGGAATCTTGCTAAGTCAACAGGTGTAGATGCCAACAAGAGAACACAATATTCCGAATCAATTATTCACTATCAATTAAAAACTGGTGACCGGTGTTCAAGCCGATGAGACCACAATGTCTGACCAACTATTAGTGGAAAAGGGTTGAAATTGGGAACCAGCCGAGAGCTACATCTTGAGAGGGCCTGGCTGGGCTACATTTTCACCTTCGTTGAACGGACTGGGAGGCCATTGGGAACGAACTCCTAGAAGTCGACTGGAGAGTTGAGTTACACGAGTTAAATGCTGAAGCAATGTACAACAAGCTATGCGAAGTAATATTGCAGGTGTGCACGCGTCTATCGCTCGGGAAGAACGAGTCCATAACAAAACCTTATTCGAAGAGACCGGCTAATCTTGATGAGAAAACAAATACGGTATGTTCGAAAAGAAGATGGCAGTCGCCTCCAGAGCTATAGAGAGGTGGAGGCTGGTTCGTTTACGGAAATTGAACTACACCTGAAGGAGCGCGAGTGGTGGGTATATGCGCTATAAATATGCCCTGTCAATAGCCAAAATCAGGGTCACAGAGGCCTCTAAAAATGATAACGTCCTCATTCGAGATGACCAAAGTATGTCCAAACTGCTGGGAGCGAAGTTTGAAGAGATGTTCAGCAACATCTGTTGCTCAAGACAGGTGAACGAAATTGGAATCCTGCAATAACTGCCTAGAGGGGCGGATGTTGCTGAACATTGAAACACGACCTTAAAAGAGTATTCACAACTTTATTCACACATGTAAACACAATATGCCGCCTAGTGTCAAACCATAGATTTTTATGCTGAACATTGAAACACGACCTTAAAAGAGTATTCACAACTTTATTCACACATGTAAACACAATACGCCGCCTAGTGTCAAACCATAGATTTTTTAGAATGTGTTCATTTTTAATTTCCTCTATTACTAAAATATCAAGCCAATATCATATGTATGATAATGTTGGTGTCCATGATATTTACTGGTCAACCATCTACTTATAGGACTCAAAATGGAATTTGAGGACGAGTCTAAAAAAATCTCTGCTTTGACACCTTCATCACTTTGCTGAATACGGGACCATATGCACATTTTGTTCAGAAAAATTTTGTGGAAAGTAAACAAAAATCTGAAGACAACATGAGAAGTAGGACTTTTAAAAAGTTTTTCAGTCATAGTTTCATTGCTAAAATTTATGAAAAAGTTTTAAATTTTCCAACTAATTATATGCGCAATAAAAATGTATCTCAACTTGATTCAAAGGCTTTTTATGAACATTATAATTTTTTTTTGGGGGGGGGGGGAACTATGATAATAATATATCCTTATTTAAAATCAACAATTCATTTCATAACTTTTTATGTTCTAAACTGAACATTCTAACTTCATGAGCTGAAAATGTTAATTTCACTGTTCCGGAGAGCCAAATAACAGATTAAGAAAATTCAACGGCTAAAAATTGCTTTGTAGTAAGTATTGCCTTTCCAGCTTTCCCATTGCCAGGAATAGTCACGGGGTTCGCAAAAAAATCATAATGAGAGCATCATTATCTTGATCATGCACCTAATCATCATGACTCACATAAGTCCAGTTTGGGAGAGAATAATACTTTACAAGGATATTAATTTCAAACAAATGTTGGAACCAATTGTAAGAATAAGAAAATTTTAAAGTGCCTTACGCACACACCGAGGCATGAACAATTTTGCACATCACACACATACGGTTGGCTGCATTAAAAACGTATTATTTGCAGCCAACAAATTAGTTAAGAAATGGAAAAGCCAGTTTTTACCCAGACGCATTTTTTAATCTCCAAAGCTAGCGAAGAAGCTAGTGGTGGTTAACACGACGGCATACAAAACTGGCTTAGAAGAGACACTGAGGTCAGGACTGAGGACTGGCAGAGGCTAGATAGAGATGCCTTGTAGTGTTTTCTCTAAAACAAATTCTAATTTTTACACCCAAAAGATATTTAGAAAAATTTGACAAAGTATTTCACGAGTTTACACAACTCCTTACTACATAACTACATAACTATTACAGGAATAATAATTTTAATAATTATTGACTATATAATATTTGTTAATCAAACATTTATATAATTGCACAATAATATAATTTTATTCACCGACGATGTTGAGATAAATATGGTCTAAAGTTAGGTAAAAGCAGTTACAGAAATTGCTCTGGTGCAGGAAGTTAATTTCAGTTCCAGCTACAATCATCAAGTTCAAAGTATATCATTGCATATTTTTTAAGGGAATCATTGCCTTATTTATTGAAAGGTCAGTAAAAATAGGGAGATTAAATTGAATAGACTTGGTAAATTGAAGGCAGTCGACCATGCACTTTTATTCAAGTTAAAATCTTCCACGACTGTCGTCCGCGTCAAGATTGAAGTTAGAAGAGCCGGCGGATAAAAATGTAAGGCTAAAAAGTAGGAACAAAGAACCTGGATTGTATGCTATATAGGACTGTTAGGCTCACGTGACCTTTTAATTAAGGCGGTTGCTTACCCGGTGTAGCCAAGGTGCGTAGAGAGCAAGAGCTTGTAGATTCTCACACCAGATCATATAGACAAATCTTGCATTTGTTAAAATTTATTGTCTAATTAACTCGTTAATGTTTATACGCTTATCGTTTGTCTCGTGTCCGGAGACATAGTCGACGCTCCTTAGCTCTATCTTGCTTACTATTGCTTTAAATATTGTTGTTGCGAGATTGCATTCATACCCTAACACACCAAGATTAAATGCAAAGAAAATGCCTGCTAAATTAACCCTATCTTCGTTGAAAATGTTTCGGCGACCAGCTCCATCACACCTAATCGGCAGTTCTCCGAACTAGAACGCCAACTTTGATGTCTAATCATTATTTCTTCCCCTAATCATTATTCCCTAATCATTATTCCTTCAATTATTGATGGATCTGCTTCTAATTAAAACATAGCTAGTTGTAACAATACAGTGCTGGATGAATTATTACAGATTTTCAAGTCATTTCTTTTGAATTAAACGAAAAAAGGCAACTCTTCCGCAACTGCCCCAATTATAAGTCCTTTAATTATGAATGAGCTCTTTCAATTCCTCCAATTATTAATGATCTTCACATATATTCATTTTTGATAAAACGAACCTTACCATAACTATCATAATCCGAACCAAATTTTGTAAAGTTTCGTTTCAATCGAAAACGAAAGACGAAAAACCTGTAAAAATTCCTCCATAGCCGATTTGCTAATAATTATAGTGTGGATTTAAAGCAGATCCGTTCATAGTTGAATTAGAAATGATAGGGACAGTTGTGCAGGTGAGTTTGAATCCGTAGGCGAATTTGGAGAAGTTTCGATTACTCCATCATTACAACAAAAAATCTAATAAAATTCATGAACAATTATCATCGAAATTCTGATTATACACGAAAGAGATCAAAACCTAATCAACGAGAAAACCTGAGGATAGAAAATTTTATTTCCGAAACTTTTTCCGAATATTAAAGTAAATGTTTTTCTATGGAATAATTTGAAAATTAGTTCCTTCTTGAGACATAAGGATGTTATCCTTACCCGGAAACGGCATCCCCGAATAGCTGAACCTGTTACCATCGTGTAACCTGTTGTGGTTGAACCTGAATCTTCATTATAATTTCATATCACAAATAAACTAACTAGGAATTAACGTGCTCTTCAGACTGAAGAAAACCCGCCCAAAATATAAATCAAGCTTGTACTTCAAATTAACTCACCGTTAATGATTGTTCGGCGGCAAAATGTCTCATAATATAATCATGTGGATACAGCGATGAGGAAATGTTTTTAATCAATAAGCATCAGTTCGACGCAGCAACTGCGCATCCTATTTCTGATGCACAGTGTCAAAATATTTCATGACTTTAGTCACTGCAAAGCACAGCGTGTAATCACTCAGCCTTTCGTAAAAATTCATTCCAAGGAAAATGCAGTGTCTCTTCAGGCGTAGGCAGATTTCCATGCATTTCTTTCATTCATCCTGCCATGATATCTCCAGAGCCTCTCTGACCTCACGGCTCAGCCAATATTGGCCTTGTTCAGCAGAAACAAGGTTGACATTGGATATTGGAACCTTTTATTGGCCCAGAAATATGCATGATCACATGCACCTATAGTGATTCATGCGCCTCCATGTCACACTACTGGGGTACGTAATTGGTAGAAGTTCTTGAATGAGCTTTCTTCTTTCTTAGATTGATTAAAAGTAGGTTTATATTTTGTGAATAAAAGGCATGATCTTAGCATTGTGAAAATATTTGAATTTTTTATACGAGATCCACTCCCAAATATCATCGGCAATTTCAATATTATTCAATCCTTTAGAATCCGTGTGTAAATTCTCCGTTTGAACCCAAAGCAATTACCGCTTATGAACCTAATTATAACTGGAAATCGAAGGATTTGTGCTAACATTTCTCTAAATGCTCCATAATTAGAAAAAAAGCATGAAAAAAAATCAGACACGTGATCCGAAGAAAAATTTAAAATTTCTCGGTAATAAATCTCTTAATCAAGGCCATAAATTTCTTGTAGGATTAAATGTACAGTGCTCCCAAAAC